GGGCGCAACTAGGGGAACCGCGGGGCGGGGACTGGGGGAACCGCCCGGGGCGCTTTCCACTGCCCGGCCCCTTTAAGCTAGAGAGTAAGAACCCTTCTAGGCAGAGCTTAGGTAGGGAATCATCCCCAGACTGCTTGTTGACTGATCTTGAATATTCCTCCTGTAGAGCGACAGGCCCGACTTAAGGGGGGCGGCGATGGCGACGTCGAGCGGAAGGAGTGAGGCCCGCGCGGAGGAGGAGGAGGAGGAGGAGGAGGAGGAGGAAAGAAGGAGTAAAAGATAAAAAGAACAAAAATCAAAAAATAAAAAAAAAAAAAAAAGGAGAAAATGATAGAGAAAAAAAAAAAAATAAAAAGAAAAAAAGAATAAAAAAAGAAAAAAAAAAAAAAACAAAGAGCAGAAAACGTAAAGGCGGGGGGGAGGAGGAGGAGGAGAACCCTAACCTGCCGCTCCCAGGACCCCACAGGCTCTGGCGGCCGACTCGTGCCCTCGGTCCTGCAGCTCGGCCAGGAAGGGCGGGGCGGCGGGCTCGCGGGCGCGGAGCAGCTGCACCAGCCGCAGCACCACGAGGAACTCGTATGGGAAGAGAGACGGCTCGCTCAGGTACCTTCCCCCTCCTCCTCCTCCTCCTCCTCCACCTCCTCCGCCTCCTCCTCCTCCTCCGCCTCCTCCTCCGCCTCATCCTCCTCCTCCTCCGCCTCCTCCCCCTCCTCCTGCTCCTCCTCCTGCTCCTCCTCCTCCTCCTCCTCCTCCTCCTCCTCCCCATCCTCACCCTCCTCGTCCTCCTCATGCTTCTCCATCCATCTTCCTCGTAAACAACTCCTCCCTGTCGCACCCCGAGACGTGTCGGTAGGGCGGGCAGGGCGATTCGACTGAGACATCCTCACCAGCCATGCTCGTTTAACTTAAAACTGACTACAGCTTCACGGATGGAGCACCTGTGGTTTTCAAAATGTGGTTCTCGCCTCAGCGCCGCGCACATTCGTCTTAAAAGTTTGCAAGAGCTTCAAGGATGAAGGGAGGGTGGTTTTCAAATGTGGTTCTCGCCATAGCGCCGCGCCGATTCGTCTTTCGTCTTAAGAGTTCACAACCGAGTCAAGGGTCCTTATGGCTGACGTCCCAGAACATACATTTTGACACGATGTAGGGCTGCCAGGGCGCAACAGTCACGTTGATTCGCGGCGTTCACGATTCAAGATTGTCTGGACACAATAGTATGGTTGATTCGTGGCGTTGACATTCCAGGAATGATGTTCTGGCACGGTTGAGGATGTTCAAACGGCTGTCCTTCAACGGGGCACTTCCCTCAGTGAAAACGAATCGTGGCCTGTGAATAGGGAACTTGGAGGGAGGTGTTATTGAAGCATTATTGATGGGTCTTCGGTTTGAACTGGTCCTCCTCCTCCTCTTCCTCCTCCTCCTCCGCCTCCTCCTCCTCATCCTCCTCCTTCTCCTCCTCCTCCTCCGCCGCCTCCTCCAACTCCTCCTCCTCCTCGCCATCCTCCTCCCCCTCCTCATCATCCTCCTCATCCTTCTCTTCCTCCTCCTCCCCCATTCCTTCTCCTTATACGTAGATAACTCCTCCCCGTCGCACCCCGAGGGCAGTTTTTAGGGCGGGCCGGGTGTTTCGCCTGAGACATCCTCAGCAGCTATGACTCTGAAGCTTAAAAAAGTGGCTACAGGTTCACGAATGGAGGGCGGGTGGTTTTCAAAATGTGGCTCTCGCCACAGCGCCGCGCATACTCGTTTTCTTTTACCTGCAAGAATTTCACGCATTGAAGGCGGGTGGCTTTCAAATTGTGGCTCTCGCCACAGCGCCGCGTACACTCGTTGCAAACATTTGCAAGAGCTCTACGGACTGAAAGCGGGTAGTTTTCGAAATGTGGCTCTCGCCTTAGCGCCGCGCACATTCGTTTTCAAGCATTTGCAAGAGCTTCACGCATTGAGGGCGGGTGGTTTTCGAAATGTGGCTCTCGCCTTAGCGCCGCGCACATTCGTTTTCAAGCATTTGCAAGAGCTTCACGCATTGAGGGCGGGTGGTTTTCAAAATGTGGCTCTCGCCTTAGCGCCGCGCACATTCGTTTAAAAACCTGCAAGAGTTTCACGGATTCCCATGATCAACGTACCAGACATGGTGTTTTGGAAGGATTCCGGTTTAACGGGCGCAGCAGTAATGTTGATTCGCGGCGTTGACATTCCACAAACGGCGTCATGGCACGATTCCGGATCGCCAAAACGCAACAGTCAAATTGATACGTGGCGTTGAAATCCCGAGAACAATGTTTGGCATGATGCAGGACCTTCAAACGGTTGTCTTCCAACGAGTCAGTTCTCTCAATTGAAATGAACCGTTGTAGGGGCCTATGCAGAGGGAGCTTGGAGGGAGGGTTAGTTCCAACATCGTTGATGACTCTTGGGTTTACACTGGTCCTCCTCCTCCTCCTCCTCCTCCCCCTCCTCCGCCTCCTCCTCCTCCACCTCCTCCTCCTCCACCTCTCCTCCTGTGGCGCTGCTCCGCCTCGCGTGCGCCCTCCCGCCCGAGCAGGTGAGAAAAGTTGGGCAGCCCTCTCCCTGGCGGTGGCGGGGGTGGTTTGAGTGCGCCACCCGCTGGGAGAGCGGCAACGAATCGCAACGAAGCGCGCAATGACCGTACTACAAGCCTCGTCAAAAAGAAACAGAAGACTTCTGAATTCGGTGATTGTGGGGCCAGCGCTACTCCAATGCTGACGGATGCCTGTTAACTCGGACGCGGTGTTGTCCAAAAACCGGCCCCACTCTCTCAGCACTGAAGAGCGCGCTTTCTGACGAGTGCCCGAACGCATCGTGCTCCAGGATGTCCACCTCCATTTCTGGACAGCTGTGACGAGGCTTCTAGGCTGGGTAGTCGAAGCCAATCTGGCGCCAATCTGGCAGGCCCAATCTGGCAAACGGGGGCAATCTGGCGAGGGAGCCAACGCGAATCCAGTCTGGCGAATAACCCAAATCATCCAGGTTGGCCGGGCCAGATTGGCCCTTGGGGCCCAATCCAATCTGACAGTCTGGCCTTCGACTACCCAGCTTTAGTAAAACGTGGTTTAGTGAAAACGACCTGAGGCCCAAACCTGGCGGGCGCAAGCCTGGAAAACAACGGCCACGGCGCCGTCTCGAGAAGCGAAAACAGACAATTCACTGATCGACGTGTCACTGTTGGGGGGTTCTGTCCGCCCCCGACGTCTGTCCGGGGCGGAAACCGGCTCCGGGGGGAAGGGGTCGGGACCTCGGGGGCCGCGCACAGCGAGCACGCGCTCCCGTGGACTGCGGGCCCGCGGATCTGGCGCGTGAGCACCAGGTCACCCAGAATGCCAGCTCGAGACAGATCCCGACAGTCATCGGCCTGACCTAAGGAACGATAAATAAGGAACGAAGCCCCTTTTTATCCCAAGGCATAGCGCATGAGGAACGACACATCATAAATAGCACATAAGGACCTGTGAATAGCGCATGCACACCTAAGGAACGACCCAGCCCCTTTTGAAAAGCAAGTCTTCCTTATTCAAGCCGCTCACTGTATCCCTGTGTTTGGCATCACCTCACCTCGATGCCGATCTTTGAGGGTTCCCTCGGTTCCGGAGGGCGCATCCCTGAGGTGGCCATCGCTCGTGGAATACCCATCTTAGGAGGAGGGATGGGTTCGAGGCGGGTCACCAGATCGGGGAGGACCCCCCCCCGAGACATGAAGTCCATGCCGCCCCGCCCAACGGCGGCGGGAACGGGCCGTCTCCTTCCGCCTCTGGGGGCCGTGGCCCTTCGATGTGCACGAGGTCCCCGGGCCTCAGATACTACACGGTGAAAGCATTGGATAAGGAACCACTTGATGAGAAATCCGGGGTCTGAAAGCCCGCGGAACTCCAATCGTGGAGTGGCCATGGGTATCACCGCCGCCCTCATTGGATAAGGAATCCTCCAGGGTCTGGAGCCTCTTAGGCACATTCCTTAACGAACGCCCCCGCCGTATATGTGCGAGGCTCCTTGGCGGCGCGCACAGGGGGGGGTGCGGCGAGGGGATCGAGGTTGGGGGATCGGGGTTCGCGCGTTGTCATGTGTTCACGGTGGCCTTCCAGCCTCAGGATGCTTTCCAGCCGCTGCGCCTCTCCGAGAGCGCTCCAGGGTGGACCGAATCGTCACCAAATGCCGCCAGGGACCTAAGATTTGACCCGACAACCAGACGCGCGAGGAGCACCGCCTTCCAAGAAGGCGTCGGGGGGGGCGTAGAAGGCGGGATCCTTCGTAGACGGCCTCCCAAGCAACATACGTGCAAAATGCGCGCCTCCTCCTCCTCCGCCTCCTCCTCCTCCTCCTCCTCCTCCTCCTCCTGCTCCTCCTCCTCCGCCGCCTTCTCCTCCTCCTCCTCCTCCTCCTCCGCCTTCTCCTCCTCGTCCTCCTCCTCCGCCTCCTCCTCAGCCTCCGCCTCCTCCTCCGTCTCCGCCTCCGCCTGCGCCTGCGCCTCCGCCTCCGCCTCCTCCTCCTCCTCCTCCTCCTCCTCCTCCTCCTCCTCCTCCTCCTCCTCCGCCTCCTCCTCCTCCATCCTCCTCCTCCTCATCCGCCTCCTCCTCCTCCTCCTCCTCCTCCTCCTCCTCCCTCCTCCTCCTCCTCCTCCTCCTCATCCTGCCCGTCCTCCTCTCCTTCTCCTTCTTCTCCTTCCTCCTCCCTCCTCATCCTCATCCTCATCCTCATCCTCATCCTCATCCTCATCCTCATCCCACCTCATCCCTCCCTCCCCTCCCCTCCCTCCCCCCCCATCCCCTTCCTTCCCCCCCCCCCTCCCCTCCCTCCCCTCCCTCCCCCCCATGCCAGCAAACTTGCCAGAACCTAGAAAGGAAGCGCTGCCCCCCGACGGGTGCGCAGCGCTGGGGCGCCTGCTCTCGCCGGTGAAGAGGAGGTCCGCGGCGCCCCGCAGGCTCTGCAGGCGCGCCTGGCCCTCGAGGGCCGCGCGGCTCGGCGAGGGCTGCGTCGGGCTGGACTTAGGTCGGGCATGTGCTGCTGCGAGCGGATTTTGGAAGATAAACAAATTACGCCAGAGAAAAAGCCCAATCAGTGGATGATTTTCGCTGAGGAGATCGACCGGGAACCCAGGAGCCCCGGAACCCAGAACCCACCGAAATCGGCCCGGAACCAACAACCGGAAACCCGTGAACCTGGAACCAGGAACCCGAGAACCCAGCCTGCTACCAAAATCGGCGGGAAACTTTCGCCAAATCTTTCAGTTCCCGTTAGGACCCCCTCAGTGCAAGCACTGATTGGGGAAACGCAGCCCAAACATGATCAAACTGATAATCAGCAAGACCACGAGAGACATCGCCCCCGGGCTACACGATTTCCCCTCCTCGAGTCTTCCTCCTGTCCACTGGCATGCCCGACCCAAGGCTGGACTGGTTGTGGATGAGCTGCTGGTAGTGGCCGAGGGTCGGAGGAGCCCAGCCGAGGCACGCGGGAGGGCGCCTCACTGCTCTCGGCCTCCGGGGGGCCCGCGGTGGGCCCGCGGGGACGGCCGAAGAGCTGCCCTGGACGAGAAGCTCCTCCTCCTCCTCCTCTTCCTCCTCCTCCTCCTCCTCCTCCTCCTCCTTCTCCTCCTCCTCCCAGACCTCTCGGGGTCTGCTTCGTGACTTTTGCTTAGCTGGTGGCGCGCCCAGGAAATGCTTCTTCCTGCGCGGTCCAACTGCAGCATGCCACTGAAGACTCAGGACCGAACTCTCTCAGCGCAGAGCTCGGGGTCTGCTCCGCGAAGGGGGGAGACAGAGAAAAAGCACGGCCTCGGGCGCCTGGTCTCCCCAGGCGCGTCTCGCGTCCTTCCTTGGGGCCTCCCGGAAGAGCTCCTCGCCGCCGCGGCAGGGGCCCGCCTCGGAGAGCGGGCCTGGATGGACACCCTCCTCCTCCTCCTCCTCCTCCTCCTCCTCCTCCTCCTCCTCCTCCTCCTCCTCCTCCTCCTCCTCCTCCTCCTCCTCCTCCTCCTCCTCCTCCTCCTCCTCCTCCTCCTCCTCCTCCTCCTCCTCCCTCCTCCTCCTCCTCCTCCTCCTCCCCTCCTCTCCTCCTCCTCCTCCTCCTCCTCCTCCTCCTCTCCTCCTCCTCCTCCTCCTCCTCCTCCTCCTCCTCCTCCTCCTCCTCCTCCTCCTCCTCCTCCTCCTCCTCCTCCTCCTCCCTCCCCCTCTGGAGAGGGGTTCCTCTGGACCGCCTTGTGACCGGAGAGACGCGGGCCGAGCGGGGGAGCCGCCGCCCCCTGAGAGATCCGACGCTGCGAGGGAGCAGCAGCATCGCTATGCATCGCGGTCTAGATCTGCGTATAGGTCGGGCATGTCCTCCTACAGGCGGACGTTGGACGAAACAAATAAATGGTCAAACAAATATCCAAAACATGTCTGGAAATGAAACAAAAGATCGTCCCCAGACTGTTGTCCTACTATAATTGCATATTCCTCCTGGAGAGGAACATGCCCGACATAAATCGACCTCATCGTTCTGGCGCATTTCTCGAGCCGGATGGCCTGGGGCCCGAAACCGGGCGAAACAACGCCGGGTCTGGAAAAACTGCTGCAACGCCCGGATCTCCAGGTTGCCTCAGCTGGCCCTCCTCCGAGAAGTACATCGGACGGGGGGGCACCGTCTTGGCCACCTCTGGGATCAAGGCAATGGGTCCTGGACCCGGAGGCTTTTCCCCAGGACCAACTCTTCATCCTGAGTCGTTTTCTGACGGCCCCAGGGCCCGTGGAGGGCCCCTGGAGCCCGAAAGCGGCGCAAGAAAAACATGGGGGCCCGTCCTCATGCACCTGCGAATTGGTCAGAGTCAACGAAGGGCAAAAGAAACAGTAACTTCTGGGAAAGAGATCGGCCCAGGCGAAGAATTCCCAGTCGGATTACCCAGGGAGGCCCAAGGAAGACGCGCTTCTTGCGACGAGTACGACCCCAAACAAGGGCAGCCCCAGGAATCCGAGCCTGCCCTTTCCTGAGCCTCAGAAGTGGCCGAGCCCCACTAGCAGGCGAAGGGGCTTCCCTCGGAACTAGTTGGCTTCATGGAGACACCTCGAGGCCCCTCGCACGCTGGCGCTCGTCGGGGTTGACGGGTGGCAGCTGGTTGACGGCCAGCAGGGCCCTGCGGGTGAACTCCTGCGCCTGCGCGTGAATGGCCACGCAGAGGCCGCCCGCCTCCTCCAGCGGCAGGGGCAGCCGGGAGGCGATCAGCTGGCAGCACCCCGTGATCTCCTCCTCGAGCTGCGACGCCTCCGAGGGGCAAGCAGCCGCAGCTAAGAACTTGTTGGTCGGCGAGGCGAGAGCGAACCTCTTCCGCTAAAAGCTAGGCGGGCTACGCACAGCTTCACTTAGGGAGACAGGGCACAGGAGGGCGGGGCCTCAGGCGGCCGGAGCGGGCGGAGCCCGGGGTGCAGGCGGTGCCGAAGAGCTTGCACAAGAAAAGGTACGCCGCGGACCCGCAGCTAAGAACAAGAGGAGCCACAAAGAAGGCGAGCAACACGGAAGAAGCTACAGCAACACCGAGCAGCGGCGCTCACAAACGAGTAAGGAAGTTGCTTTCGAACAAAGAACAGTCGGAGCTCCCCGCGGGCTTCTTGGATATGCGCCCAGGCCCCCCCTCAGTGGTGCGCTGAGCGCGCCAGGGGCGGCGCCAGAGGCGCCGCCAGGATCGAGGGCCCAGCGCCGATCCGAGAAATCCGCGAGGAGCTCCGAAAGTTTGTGTCTGTGCGTTTCTTTCTTCTTCGAGCCTCGTCCCCTGGCTCCGTGCGCTGCGCAGGGTCGCCCTCGCGCATCGAGCGCTCCTCCTGCAGGCAGGCCTGGAGGCTGTGGTACGCGAAGGCGAGGATCCTGAGGACGACGTTCTTGGCCTCGACCGCCACCACCTCCCGCCTGAACGCGCACAGCGCGGCGCTCCGGGCCGCACCGCCGGGGCCATACGGCTCGAAGCAGACCGGGAAGAGCGAGCGAGACGTCGCGTCGGGCAGGCACAGCTGGCTCAGGGAGCGCTCCACGTAAGCCTCGGCGATCTGCTGCGCGGTGGCCTGCAGGTAGGCCGGGAAGCTCGGGGCGCTGAGCAGCAGCCGCACGAGGAAGCAGCCGGGAGGCCGGACCCTGCACAGGACCTGGAGGGTGTTGGGGCACTGCATCATCTCTTCCACGAGCGCAGCCTCACCCCACATGGTCTCCGAGGCCATGTACTCCAGGAAGGCCGCCGCGAGCATGCGGTCCTTCGAGCCATAGAACTTGTCGTCCAGGAAGTCCATGGTGTAGAAGCGAGGCTCCGCATCGGGGGATGCCCAGAGGGTGTCCCTGACCCAAAAAGGGGCCGCTGGTTTTTGTGACATCTTGGGGCCCCCATGGGGCCTCCTGGGCCTCGTCAGGAATGCCCTGGAGGCCATCTGGACCTCCCGAGGTAAAGCCAGGGACCCCCCCCGGGCGACGCCCGACTGTGTGGCGGCCGCCGAAATACTCCACGGACGGCCACGAGTGGTACGAGTCCTGGAGCCCCCAGGTGCCTCGCACCGCGCCGTAGAGCTCCTCCTCCTCCTCGCAGCGGTCCTCCTCCTCCTCGGGGAGCACCCCAAACAGACCGCACAGGCACAGACTCGGGGAGGCCCGCGCGGGGCTCTCGGATCGGCGCCGGGCGCTGCACCTCCCTGCCGGGAGCGAGGGGCGCGCCAGGGGCGGCGCCAGGGGCGCCACCAGGGAGGCCGGGGCGCCGACGCCAGAAATCCGCACGGAGCCCCAGAAGTCCATGCTCCTGCCATGGTCTCGATCCTCGATCCTCGAGCCAGAGGCCCACACAGTGCTTGCACTGAGGGGGTCTTACTTGTGTCCTAAGGCAACTGGGCCCCGGTGGCGCTCCAGCTGGAGCGTCGCCGCCCGTCGCCGCCCGTCGCCGCCGGCGCCGCTGGGCCCCCGTGACGGCCCGGCCAGCTCGTCGCCGTCCGTCGCCGCGCTGCGTTGCATTGCTTTGCACTGCCTTGCAATGAGTTGCACTGCCTTTGGATGACTCTGCACCACATGGACTGCAACACCTGGACCACAAAGATGTGCACCGCCCAGACTGCACCGCACCGCCTGCAGGGGAAGCACTGCTTGGGGCCCACACTGGCTCGCACGTGCTGTCGGCTCTGCTCCTCGAGCCTCGGCCGTGACCTCCTCGCGCTCCGTGCCCCAGGCGCCGCCACGGATGACGTCGCAGATGACCCGCATGCCCTCGCCCGCCCGGAACAGGCCCCGGCCCCGCTCGCCGGCACTGGAGAGCACGTTGAGCAGGAACTTCCAGACGTGAGTGCGCATCGGCGTCCTTCTTGCCGTTTCCAACGAGGAGGAACACAGCAGAGGTAAGCAGAAAGTGTTGCGAGTCCGCGCGGGCCTTTGAGAGAGCATGTGTGTGTGTCTACGGTCGGGAGCTTTTGCTCAGCGAGTCGCGGCGACGGCCCCAGCGACACGCCATGCCCTGCGAGCGGATGGCGTGTCGCCCCGCTCCGCTGGGCGGGAGGCTGGAAGGAGGAGGAACACGGCGCAAGCATGGGCTGCCGGTGGTCCGCGCGGGCCTTCGAGTGTATGCGCAGTCTGCTCTCTCTCTCTCTCTCTCTCTCTTCGAGTTGGTGGTCGTATCCGCGGCCTCGCGGGCCAGGCCCCTAGGCTTATGTTGCTCCCATCGTACTTAAGGGGCCACATCCCAGAAATAATTTCGAGCACCCGGAAAAAGTGTCGAAAGAGAACCGAAACAGTGTCGAAACAGAGTCGGACGAGTGTCTCCCAGGGCCCGACACGTGAAAACCATCGAGTTTGGGTATTTCTGTGGTGCTCGAAATTCTTTATGGCGATCAAGGCTAAAGTAGGTTGGAACATCATAACCCTAGGCCGCGCCCCCGTGGATGCGGAGCGTTTTTTCGCGGATGCTCCACGCGGCACGTGCCCATGCGGCCGCCAATCCACGGGACCGCGCCCTGGACTCGGGACCGCGAGGGCGTGCACATGGACATGCTCGTCGCTCGTGGCGAGTCCTGTGCTCGTGGAGCGAGTGGTGCGAGGACACGTCCAGGCGGCTGAGCAGGTACGGCACCGTGCGGCCGAACGAGAAGAGCGACGCGGCGACCGGCCCGCTCTCGTCGGGGCGGTCGCCGCCGTCGCCCTCGAGCAGCAGCCGCTGCTCGTCGTACTTGATCAGCACGTCGAGCATCTCGCCGCGGTCGAAGTCTGCGCGGAGCGTCAGCAGGCTGCCGACCCACTCGGCCACCGTGCTGCGTGCCGCGCCGCTGCCCGCCACCAGGCTCAAGCGGCCAGGCTTGGCCGGCGCATGGATCATCGAGGACGAAGAAATAAATGATGTACAAAAAGACTGTCGGCGGTCCGAGCGGAGTTCTTGGATCGGCGCTGGGCACCCACGGCGACCCCCCCGGCGCGCTCCGCGCGCCTGGGAGGGGCGCTCCGAGTGCCGATCCGAGAAATCCGCGCGGACATCCGAAAAGCTATGCACGTATCATTTTTGCCCCTCGAGATCAGATGGCGCTCCGCCTCCAGGCAGAAGTTCGGGCCGGGCTCGAAGCCGATCTCCAAAAATTCTGCGGCGCGCTGACGGCAGAGGCTCTCGTAGTCCCGCGTGCCCTCGTGCACCCTGTAGTTGATGAGCGACACTATGAGCTTCGAGGCCTCGCCCACCGCGGTTTGCGAGAATGCGCAAGTCCGCACCAGCGCGGTGACAAAGCTGAGCGTGTCCTCCAGGGGACGAAGGGATCGCGCGCACTTCACGCGCGCTTGGGATCTAGCGCAGGCCCGGCGGTTGCTGGAAGGGCCTGGACAGCGCTATCATGCATGAGCGCGTGGCATAGTCGTACCCATCCTCACCCTCATACTCAGTCCCATCATAAACCTACCCATCCTACTCCTTGGCGTCATAATAATCATCATGATCCCAGGACGTCATCATCATCATCATCATCATCACCATCAGCATCATCATCATCGTTCAGAACAACAAGAAGCACATGGAGAGCATGATTGGCCCCGTACTGCTAGCTATGCCGTCACGTCAAATTCGCGCATCCGCATCATCACCCCAATCATCAGAAACATCAAATTCATCCTCATCATGATCAGAATCAGCATCATCAGCATCAGCATCAAAACCATCATCCTCATCCTGATCCTCCTCCTCCTCATCATCATCATCAGCAGCAGCAGCATCATCACCACCAGCAGCAGCATCATTATCGCGGAGAGAACGCGTTTCACGGGCGCTTGCCTTGGAAACATTCGGCGGCGCGTTTCGAACCAGGGTGGGCCCCCCCCCAACTCTCGGCGCCGTCGTTCAAAACCAGGGGGACTCCCCTCCCCCCACCCCCCCCTCCCAAACCCCCCCCCCCTCGGCGCCAGCGCCGGCGCTGGCGGCCGCCAGCAGCGCCGACGGCCGGCGGGGACGCAGCGACGATGACCAGAGGCAGCCCACGGGAGGGGGGGAGTTTCAAACCCCTCCACCCCCCCCTTGGCGCCGGCGCCGGCGCTGGCGGCGGCCAGCAGCGCCGGCGCTCGGGGACGCAGCGACGATTGCCACCACTACCACCCCGCCACCACTACCACCACCACCACCGCCTCAAACCACCACCACCACCAACACCAACCCACCACACAACCACCACCACAACCACAGCCACCACCACCACAACCGCCACCACAACTCACCATCACCACCACCACCACCACCACAAAAACCCACCACCACAACCACCATCACCACCACCACCACAATCTACCACACCACCGCCACCACCGCCACAACCACCACCATTACTAGCAGCACAACCCACTGCCACCACCACAAACCACAACACCACCACCACCACCACCACCAGCACCACGTCCACAAACCACCGCCACCACCACAACCCACCACCACCACCACAAACCACCACCACACCACCACCACACCACCACAACCACCACCACCACAACTCACAACCACCACCACCACCACAAAAACCCACCACCACTACCACTACCACCACAATCTACCACACCACCGCCACCACCGCCACAACCACCGCCACTACTAGCAGCACAACCCACCGCCACCACCACAAACCACCACACCACCACCACCACCAGCACCGCCACCACCACCACCACCAGCACCACCTCCACAAACCACTACCACCACCACAACCCACCACCACCACCACAAAACACCACCAGACCACCACCAAACCACCACCACCACCACAACCCACCCACCACCACAACCACCACCACCACCACAACAAACCACCAAACCACCACCATCACAACCACCACCACCGCCACCACCACCACCACAACCTACCACCACCACCACCACCACCACCGTCATCCTCGTCGACGCCCCCCGCCGCCGCCGCCCGCCGCTGCAGGCGCCGGCGATGGCCCAGAAAAGGAAATCGTCGTCCCCGCCGCCGCCGCCAGCCGCCACCGACGCAAGCGCGGGCCCGAGGAGAGGGGAAGCAGGGAAGGAAGGGAGAGGGGGGGGGGGTTCGAACCCGAAATGGTACGAACTACAACCGACTAGTCCCAATTCCAACCGTTCGGAGCGAATTGCAACCAGAAAAGAGACCAATTCCAACCACAAATGAGACCAATTCCAACCCAACCACAAATGAGACCAATTCCAACCCAACCAAAAATGAAACCAATTCCAACCACGGATGGGATCTTCGGAATTCCTCCGGATCCTTTCGAATTCTTCGGAATTCCTGAGGATTCTTTAGGACTCCTTCGGAATTCCTTGGGATTCCTTCGGAATTCTTTGGAATTCCTTTGGCTTCCTCCTTCGGAATTCCTTTGGATTCCTCCTTCGGAATTCATTTGGATTCCTCCTTCGGAATTCCTTTGGAATCCTACTTCGGAATTCCTTTGGAATCCTCCTTCGGAATTCCTTTGGATTCCTCCTTCGGAATTCCTCAGGACTCCTTCGGATTCTTCGGAATTCCTCAGCCGTCCTTCTGATTCTTCGGAATTTCTTCGCAAGTCCTACGGACTCCTTCGGATTATTCGGAATTCCTCTGGATTCCTTCGGATTCTTGGGAATCCCTTTTGGATTCCTATTACTATTACCACCAGATTCCTTCGAATACCACTTACCACTACTACTACTACTACTACGACGACTACTACTACTACTACTACTACTACTACTACTGCTGCTACTACTACTACTACTACTACTACTACTACTACTACTACTACT